CTCTCCTCATGATTATCATGAAACCCTTGGCTAGCGAAGATGGAAAATTATATCATATAGTATAAAAATTGAACCATGCATTTAAAACAGCTCAAATCTGTTGTGCATTTCAATTCATTGAATCTTGAGCTGTTATGGCCAGAATGCCTGGTAAACTTGAATATTTCATTTTTTTGAGTATCCTTCTAATATTTCCAATGCATAATTTCCAGATCTTGTTTTTTTTTAACATTCCATAGTTGTGAATATCATTCCATTTAAGAATTAGTTTTTTGGTGTTGAATTCAAAGGCATGCAGGTACAGAAGAAACTTAAATTGGTCTTCTTGCTAATGAAAACTTATCACACATTTTCTCTTACGTAGCTTGGAACTGATATGTCAGTTGATTATTTATCTATTTTGTCAAACTAGCACTATGTCTCATGTGAGCATTGTGTCCTGTGGGCCTCTTGTCTAAAAACTCCATGCATGTGAATTTTAATGGTCGCTTAATGCAACCAGGTCACCCTTGACCGTTTTCTTTTATTATGGATCGTTATCAGTGGGGCTTTAAACTAGCATTTGCCAGTACATACTTTAAAGTATTTAAAAACATTTATTATTATCATTTTCTAAATAACAATGTTTTTGATACATTGTCAGAATAATAGCCAGAATTTGATCCAGGTGTCACTATTGCGCCTCAACATGATGTCATTAAATGTAACACTATTATTTGAATTTTTACTCGTACTGTACATAAGCTAGACACTATTTACCACTCTTCATTTCATTGTTGATATTCATTTAAAGTCCTGACCTTTAAATGGTAAGTTTTCAGATTTTTTTTTTTGGTTGACTTTTTAGGCTCTTATGATATGTTTTTCAAACAAATGTGTGCTTTTGTTTAGTTCCTGGACTTAATGCTTCAATTTTTAAATGATGATGAATAGTGTAAATATTAAGAGAAAACTTAAAATCAACTTTGGTATTTTTTTTTTTTGCATTTAATGATAAAAAAGTATAAACATTTTTATCAATAAGAACCAAAAATTACCTTTGATTTTATTATAACTTGGCACACAATATGCTCACTAAGGTACATAATTCTGTGTATCGCTTTTTTTTCAACCAGGTATGCAAACCTATTACATTAATTATAAAAAATTTCTTTGAAATACATTTAAAATGTATCACAGTTTTGATATCACTGCACTGATAATGGCACACAAGTACACTAACAGGTAGCATGTGTGATGGAGAGGTTGGTGTATTTTGTTTATGGCTTGGTTACAGCAAAATCTGTTGGTACATTCATCTAGTTCTCTTGTCCTCTGGGGTTTAATTACTGAAATTAGATGAGATTCCTTTGAATTAAATTTTGAAGTTCAACATCCTTATAAGATTAAATACACCTTGTTGTCAGTAATGTATGAAGAAGCAATATTGTTATAAAAGTGGGAATGTGTAAAAACACACATATTTCTCAACATTTCTTGATGGTATGTCATTTTATTTATTTATTGTTGTCAAAGAAATATTCAATGGAGTTTTGAAATTTTGAAGAAATATGACCATTTTTCATCCAAACACTGTTAGTTTCAAGAAGTACATGCATGTACTGGCATGCTCTAAGAAATATTTCTGTAGGAAAATATCAGTGGCGCTCAGCATTTGCATGACTTTAAAGTATTTAAAAACATTTATTATTGATATTCTTTAAAGGGCTGACTTGTAGGTAAGGACAGACAATGCCACAATTCTTAAATATTTACGGGAGTTAGGAGTAATTAATGCAAATAAAGATGTATATATAGCAATTGTTCAAAAGCTCATATTCCACTTTATTCGATGGTACATGTATATCCTTTCTCTTAAATTATTAATATTTAATTATAAGCTATAGAAATTTAATGTAGGTGTTATTTGCTTGATGTTTGTTTGTTTAATATTATCCTTTAAAAAAAATTTACTCAATGTTGACACCACCACTTACCAGTGGAGAGGTGCAAATTTATACCTCTCAGTATACTTCGCACCCAAGGCCATTGAGCAGTGTGGAATTTTGTGTGTGTCATTATCTATACTGCAGCATGGAACCTTCGGTTTATATGGTTTCGTTGTTCTGAATGGCCTACTCAGTGCCACAATGACAATGTCCCTCAGAAGAATTTGAACCCATGACCTAAGGATCAACTCCTTATATTGCAACTCTAGAGCAAACACTCTGACCACTGCGCCACATGGTCAATATTCCCTTGATGTACCTGTATCTTCATTTAGAGTACATATATAAATTTTCATGAAATTTGGCATTGTACATATAATAGGCAAAAATTTATTTAGGACACAGATTAGAATTTAGTTATGTTTCTCTTTCTGACCAATCGAAATTAGAGATGCACACCAGTAGGTGACCAATTCAAAATTAGAATTCAACTTCATGCAGTCAAATCATTAGAACTATGCATATATCATGGAAGCATATCTTAAAATTCATTCACATGATTGTATAATTGTAAAGTAAAACTTTAAACAACCGGTATTTACACTGTATGACATTGAATATGTAAATTTGTAATTATTAAACCAGTTCACAGCAGAATGTGTAGTAAACCTTGAACAAAATCGTAAGGTGTTAAACACTTTCTTTATCTACGGGTATGTGCATCTGGTTAAATACCTTTATATGTATTTAATGTATTAATGTGACTAGATTGACAATGGTTTTCTTTGGGTGGTTACCCGCATATACCCTCAACTACATGCAGATTTTTGACATTGATAACATATTCAAACTTTTTAATTTATATAGTAGGTTTAGGTAATAAAAAATCTGTTGGCACATATCTGAAAATTTGATATAATGTTCCCTAGAATTTACTCAAATTAGATTGCAATTTTTATAAAATTTGCCTACGTATTTTTAATGCTATATTACTATAAACGCGGTATTGTCATTAGTACATTTTTTACGCTTCACTATTGAAATATATGGAAAAATGACGTTTTTAAGCCAATTTTGTGAAAATAGTTTCTTAAAAAGGTTGGATAACTTTTTAAAGACGCAGACGATTTAGTCAGGAATTTCAAAATGTCAAGATGAGGTAAAATCAAAACTATTGATATAAAAAAATCAATATGTCTTCTCGCTAGATTTTTCGCTAAAAAATTTCAAAGTTCCCTTTTATATTGCTGAAATGTTGCGTTTATGGCGTTATTTATGTCTACAACGTCATTTGTTGAACGTTGTAACGTTTACCGTACGAATATAAATATTTTGACATTTGGAATATGCAAGATCTAAAATATGTCATAAACTCAAAATTTAATTTTATTCATCATTTAACTTATTGCAAAAATATATTAGGATGACCAGCAACTTATTTTCACTAGTATTGTGAAATTCATATTCTAAGCACAGAGTCGGAATAGAGGTACATGTATAAACATTCCTCGTGCATGAGAATTAACATGCATCGACAACACCGCGAGTGATAAAATATGAGTTCCTGTATTTTTAGGAAATTGATGGTGGAAAGGATTTCAGGCATAACACAAAAATCTGATCACTTTATTAAAAAATAACTGTAAAGAAAAAACTTCCAGATACTGGGGAAATTAGCCGGGGTTAGGGGGGTATTTGCAATTTTCTTTCTATATATATTAAACGCAAGCTAGTACATGGGCCTAACTCTTAAACATTTGTTAATTACGAATTCTCTTAATCAAATTTCCATGCACAAAATGTAAAATACATACACTTGAATTGAGCTTTTACACTTAGACTAGAGCTTTTGTTTAAAACTTTTAATAATAGAAAAAGATACTTGTAAATTGTTTACAGTGTCATATAGGTCTTACAGGTGTTTGTATAAATTTGGATTTTGAAAGCATTTCACAATTTATCAGCCAGTAAAACAAGGCGACTAGATGAAATTTAGATACATAATAAGTAACCAAACAATACTTAATAATAATGATGATGATGATAAGAAAAAAAGGAAAATGCATGTATTAAATTTAATCCGTTTTTAGTGTTAAGGATTGATTCCATCCTTGAAAAAAATTATAGGTGATTATTTTCGCTTTGTGCTTTGATTAGCAGTCATTTGTATTTAATGTATTGTGTCGGGGTTGCAAATAACGTGGGGTGAAATACAACCCCTCAAGTTTTCCGCTAAACAATTTTATTTAATTGATAACATTACTCTCTGCATACCATAACTTTCACGCCGACTGCTACAGTGACCTTTAGCAGTTTAATAATACTTACAATATAAATTATTTCTTTCATTTGGTATTGTATTTAATTTTTCCTATATACTACATATACTAGTAATCACATGAGAGTTCGGTTGTAATTTTATGAAACATTTTGTACGGGATTTGCTATTGACGTACAATAGCATGCACTTTTAATCTAAAACCTGGTTCGACTAATTTGAAGTCATTTGCATAGAATTAACCTGGAAACAACGCAACGTTGCCTTTGTGACGTAACTGACGTCATAATCAAATGTGCACAAAACAAAAGCCGCTCGAATGTCACTTAAAATGTGTACCAAAATTGATGACAAAAGCAAACCCGCGACCTACCTTAAGCTAGGTGTCCATGCATGCAGCATTTTATTTCAGCTTAAAGTCCTTCCATCTGTCTGACTGCTACAGTGAAACTTGCCTAATCCAGAAATTGTGTAATCCAAACTCTTGCTTGTTTGTAATTTGCTTAGTACAATGTTAAACTTAAGTCCATTTTAGTAAATTCCTTTGTTTAAATACGTCTAATCAGCAGAATGGAATGATAGTAATCCGACCAATTATGTAGACAGAAATATGTACACACCACCTGTATTTATATCCAGGAAGTAATTTGTGTATTTCAGGATGTATCAACAGAAAACCATTTTACTTATAAATAGATTTTTACTACACAGTTCTAAGAAAATTTTTGAAAGGTTTCTTAGAAGTTCTTATATACCAAGTTAAAAGATCATGTTGATTTTTTTTTCCATTTCAGGTTATTTGAGAAGTGAAAGGAAGGTTGAAAGATGGTTGCTCGACAGAATTGGAGTAAGAATGTGGAGTTTTTGCTGGCGGCCATTGGGTATTGTGTGGGACTGGGAAATGTATGGAGATTTCCCTATCTCTGTTACAACAGTGGTGGGGGTAAGGTGTTCAGATCTCTTAATATAGACATGATGCAATGTATCAGTCCTCCTTATCTTCATATATATTTCAAATACTATGAATATATAAAAGTTAATTTAAAAAAAACCCTACCATACTACAGTATTTTAATTGCAATATTTTGAATCCTCTGATATCCTGAAACCTTTTCTTGGCTCTAACCAGTTCAAGATACTAAGGTTCGACTGTAGTAAAGCAGATCACTATGTAGAACCACTCTCTGATGCTTATATAAGAAAAGGTCCTTGATCAACTTTATTGTTTGATCAATATTTATTTTTTTACTGGCAATAATAAATGCATTAATTTGTACAAGAAAAATACATTCAGTTAAATATTCATTACTTGAAGAAGTTAATGTCTCGTGGCTCTAATTCACAATGATGAGTAAATATTTTCTTCTCCAATTCAAAAATTGTAAAATACTTATATGCACATTTTTATTCCTATTTCCTGGGAGAAATAGGTCATTAAAGTACACGAAGTGCATGAATTGGAACATCGTGTGCAGGACCATTGAGTTGGTCAACTTTGAGAATAATGGAAATCCTAAGAAATTAAGGTTTAAAAGTCTTTGTTAGAATTATTGATTTAATCTTTGGTAATACTCAGCAGTTAATAATGTGGTTCTAAGTGCTTGATGTGTTGAAATATCCAGTATTGTTTTCAGTATGAGAGGGGAGATGAATGAATTAAATGTCAAAGTTTTTTTCCAACTCAGTGGAAGTATATGGAGGAACATGTTTGCAAATAACATTTAAACAATACTGGTCCCAAAGAAAAAGTAACGATACATGTAATCTGTGCATCAGAAAAGCATAAGGAAAAGGTTTTTAGCTAACCTCAATGAAGTCATTGACAAGATGAGCTTATGCTATACCCCCAGCAATGTCATCATCTGTGTTTGCGTTGTCATCCTGGTTAAAGTTTTAGGAGCATGCATATAGGTCCACTCCCAAGTAACTATGATCCCCACCTGGACCAAACTTGCATGGCTGGATGATGTACATGTATCTAGTAATGGATACTAGCACACTTTTTCAGATGCTGGATTTGACCTAGATTTTCCAGATGAATGACCTGGTTTAAGTTTTTGAAGCATGTCCATTCCCAAGTACCATAACTATAAATCCTCCCAGTCCCTTCACTATGGCCTAGTTTCTTGGATGTTGCATCTAGGGTTATACACTACCCAACTTGCTTTGGATATGATGCTGGATATGACCTATAATTTCCAAATGAGTGAATTGCAATATGTTCATTCAAATAACCAAAAGTAGGTTAGGTTACAGTTGTAAGGGTTGGAGAAAATCTGGACAAAGGCTATTAAATGTACCTGTATATAGCAATCAAAGTACTAAAAGTACTAAAATGAGATATTAAGAGGGCTTGGTAGTTGTAGCCATTTTCAGATTATTTTGATGTCCTTTAAAAGGAGAGCTCCATATAAAGATATACAAAAATGATCAAATTTTAAAAAACTAAAATGTATGATTTTTTCTTTGCCAAATGATAGTTGACATTTTATGATATCATATTAGTATATAATAATTGAGTTATATCTGATGGTTAATTTGTTGACCCCAAGCCTCCTTAAAAATATCACATATTTATACTTACAGTCAAACCTCATTATCTTAAGCTTGATGGGACTGATCAAATACTTTAGATAGGGATTTGATATATCAAGAGTTAAGTACTTAAAGAATAGGGGTTTGGGACTTTGAAATATTACCTCCACATATCCATGAAATTTAAGGCATTAGAGATATGGAAGTTCTACTGTATATACACACAAAATCAATGTCAAACAGTGGCTACTTTACAATAGTAGTAATTGTTTAGTCCTAATCTGCCCATCCAATCAATAATCTCAGATGGCTTGTTCATGTAATTGAGTTCCTTTTTATGGAATTGCTTCATGTTCAGGAAAAGTTGATAAATTTACAGCTGTTGGGGTCATGGTTACTCTCTTAAAAGGCACTAAGATCAAACATGCATGTACAGCTTATTTACAGAGGCAAAAAAATGATTGGTGTTGAAAGTAGTTCTTTGTTTTATTTGGAAGTGAGACTGTATGTTACATTTTTGTCTTTTTTAGGGGCTTTCTTAATCCCGTTTTTCCTGATGTTGATCCTTTGTGCTATCCCTTTGCTCTACATGGAGTTAGCTGTTGGACAGTACACACAGAATGGGCCAGTGGGGGCCCTGGCCAAAATGTGTCCACTCTTTAAAGGCAAGTCTGGCAATATTTTTTGTTGAATTGAGTGTTTACCGAAAAAGTATTACAAATATTTTCTGTAATTTTTGGGGTAGGAATTAAATGGTACAATAAATTCTTTTATTAAATTCAAATATAAACATGAAATTAATACAGTAAAACTTAGTTATGAGGACCCACTCAAATTTTGCTATCTTTTTATATTCATATAATGAACCTAGTGGAAAACTTTCTATGGGAATTATAAATAAATCCTTATAACCAAGATTTCCTTGTTAGGGAGTTCTTTATGTCTGAATTTTATTGTATTGTATAAAGATACATAATTCACTGTAAGGGGAAAGGAGAGAAATACAGCGGAAGGGATCAAGATTCAAACCCGAGCCCCCTGAATCTCCTGTCAGGTGCTCTACCGAGTGAGCTATCTGGTCACCGGCGATCAAACCCGGCTGACCACCACATAAGTTTTCTGTAGAAAATTAGGAGAGACATGGTTTTTGTTGAAGAACATAAGTATAGCATAATTATTGTGGAACATAAAATTAGTATAGTACATTCTTATACTGTACAGTTGTGACAAACATATTGAAGAAAATAAAACTTCGATAATCAGATCTTTTGATCAATCTACCTCAAAATTTAAATAACCCTTCTTTGTTCAATGATATCCCAATTTCTCATTAAACGTTACTGAAATCTGATCTCATTTTTGGGAGTCAACAAGGAGACCTACTGTGTATGAAAGGGAGAAGTACTTGTTTACCAGGTTGGGACCAATTGCCCAAATGGGATATAATAGTCCATTTGGGATATAATATCCCAAATGGTCTATAAATTTACAGTGCAAAAATTGAAAATTTTTATTTTGGCTATAAATATCATAAATCCGCATCAGGACACTTAAAAAGGAATAACTTTTGGTTGACAAGTTTTCCTGTATGCCCATTGTTTAGGAGATTGATCCCTTGAAAGTTCCTTAACTTCTTGGAGTTTACTACTTCGGGCTGATATGGGGCCACTCGGGCTGATATGACATATGATATGGATTTTAGTATGTAATATTCTCTATATATATTACAAGTCATAAAATTGATATAAACTCAGAATATAATTCACAGTTCTATCAATATGCAGACTGGTATTAGAAGAGTATTGATAGAAAAAGGTTTCACCCTGCAATATATGGTTACCATGGTGATTATAACCTACATCATTGTCAACATATTAACTATCATTTCAATCCAATTACGAAAATCAGTAATGATATGATTTTTGCATTAAAGATTTTCTTTTGGAATTCCGAGAGCAGAAACATTGATATAACATTTACAGGCTGCTATTGGTTGATTTGGTTTCTTATAGGAATATTTTTTTTTATCTGTAGATCATATGTGGACTTGGTCAATGACCCTGAACTAGGATATAGACAAAGGTTACAGATATTGATCACAAGTTCACTGAACTGCTTATAAGTACATGTTGTGAAGAGAAGAGAGCGTAGTTCATTTAAAGACAAGCATGGACATAATTGCAGACAATGACAGGCAATCTCTCAAGGTTAACCACTATAGATCTAATACATATATGTACAACTTGACTGTAGTTTTTTAGGCTTAAGAACAGGGCAGGATGGTAAAAAAAATAAGATGACAAGGAAAAAAAATTGCAACTGTTTTAATACCTTATAAAGAGCCTATCTGAGCAAAAGGCTCAGAGAAAGATTTTAGAGAGAGATTATAGAGAGTGGTGTTGGATGGGGATGAAGGTTTGATGGGGGGGGGGGGGGGGGGGAAGGGAAGGATGGAGAAGAGATAGCAAAACCCTTTTTTTCCAATGGATCCTTTTCATACACAAAAAAACATAGTTTTTTGTTTGGATACATTCAAGAACCAGTAAATACATGTATGGTGATCAGACAGTTTTAGTACTCATTGACAAGTTAGCTCAGTTGGTCAAGCATCTGACTGGAGATTCAGGGGGCCCGGGTTCAAATCCTGGTCTGGTCCATTGCATTTCCCCATCTCCATTCCAAACATACCACAAAGCTAATTATTTCTTTTTTTGACTGCATGTATTTTTCAGGTGCTGGATTAGCCACCGTTGTGATTTCATTCCTCTTCACCACATACTACAATGTCATCATTGCCTGGGCCTTCTACTACCTATTCAGCTGTTTCCAGGCGGTGCTACCGTGGGTTGGATGTGACCATGACTGGAATTCTCCCAACTGCTGGGATGGCACCGCCAAGCAGAACTTTACCAATGGAACCACCAATGCCTCCTATGTGGGGACAGCCCTTAAACCAAATGGGAGCATATCACCCACAGAGGATTTCTATCAGTAAGAATTCTGTACATTTCAGAGTCGCAAAGCAATGTGATGTGCAGTATATTTGAATGAAACTACAGTAAAACTCGATTATAATGAAGTCACGGGGACCTATGAAATTACTTCGCTATAACCGTAATTTAATTTGTTATATCTGTATAAGGAATTCTTAAAAATAATATATCTGGGGAGTGGGGATCCAAGATAACTTTGGTATATCCATTAATTTGTAATATCTGTGTTTGTATGAAACAAGTTTTACTGTACTTGGCATTAAACTTTCCATTGGAATGCGGTTCAAATTTCATTTTTGTAACATGTTTAATTTGAATAAAACTCTCCATGTGATTATAGCATTATATTCCCTCTGTTTTGTGAATAAAAGTAGAAGCATTGATCTTTCAGGACCTATATACTAGAAAAAACAAAAGGCATTGACGAGGTTGGAGAACTGAAATGGGAGCTGGCCTTGATCCTGCTGCTGTGTTGGGTGGCTGTTTATTTCTGTATATGGAAAGGTCCTAAATCAACGGGAAAGGTAATCAATTCATTGTTCCTAATTAGGTTGGAAATTTTCTATTTTAAACCTCATTTGGCTTTTACTTGGTAAGTTGTTGCAGAGAACAATGTTGCATTTAAATTATGAATGCTTTAAAGATACCTAAATTATACTGCAAGTTTTAAATTTCAAGGAAAATCTTAATTTGTAAAGGAATTTTTTTTAAGGACACAAACAATATCAACCCTGGCCCTTCATTATAAGTGTATTGCTGTTGTAAACTTTTCTCAGTTTTATAAGATACAAAAGGTACCATTTGAAATCCAAACTTTGACTTTATTTTTAGGTTGTGTATTTCACCGCTACATTTCCTTACTTTGTCCTCATTACATTGCTGGTAAGGGGAGTAACTCTACCAGGATCTTTAAAAGGGATTCTATTCTTCATCAAACCTAAATGGGAGCTCCTTTTGGATCCAAAGGTATTCAACATTTATTACAATATCATAAGTTTTCTATAGCATACATGTTTGCTACAGCTTGGCTATTTTTATGTATGTTAATGCCTCAGTCTATCATAAGCTTGCAGATGTATGCAATGAAAACATGTCATATTTTTGTTCAGTTGAACTCAGAAAAGAGAAAGTTTCCATATACAAAAGATTGTAAAATTTATTTAAATTTTAAATTTGACTTGCAGCTATTTTACTTAAAAGAAAATTACATATATATACATGTATAATTTTTTTAACCATTATCATGCATCTAAGATTTCAAATGTGCTAAGGACATATTCCCTTCTTTAAGTATCAAGTATTCATTATTGTTTTTTTTTATTTCTTTATTTTAAAGGGACATCTTTTTTTCCCTATATTTCAAAGGGACATTTTGTTGACTATATGTTTATAAACCAGTGCACAATCAGTAATGAGACATAACTCATTGTCAATGACATACTCATTTTTTTCTAAAACGCTCAGATTTTATGTACAGTGTATTTTTTTTGCCATGCATCGAGAGCCAACTTCTTTATTTTGTCAACAGGTTTGGGTGAATGCAGCAGCCCAGAACTTCAATTCAATAGGCATAGCATTCGGTGGCATCATTACTATGTCCAGTTATAACAAATTCCACAATAGAATCATAAAGTAAGTGGGCACAGGGTTTGAAGGTGCAAAGCGGATTAACTCTGCTGTTGAATGATTGCCACAGTATCAAAGTTAAAATTTGGGTATATTGCTTAATATACAAAGTCTTTCATTCCCTATGGACTATATATATTAGGAAAGTTCGTGCAAGTAATGTCAGTTTATTTTTTATTTGATTAAAATCCTGATTTCAAATTATATTATGCATGAACTTACAAGAAAATTATGCACAACTTGATTGAGTCCATTTCATTTCCCAGAAGTAATCAGAACTAAAATACTGATCCTCATTTCAGGACATGTTATATAAGGACTTACAAGTAAAGCATGCATGGCTCAACTGACCCTTTTAGGTACAGGGTTCTCTGCCTTTTCAATTTGTAATTTTTAATTGATAAAAGTTGCAAAATTTGGATTTTTTTGGACATATTCTAGACATATTTTCTGTACACATCTGTATCTCCAATTCCATATTCTTGAATAAAAAAAAAAACTTGAAAATTTGACAATTTTTCAAGTCCCTTTACCAGACTTGGATGCAATGGATATTAAGCCCTTCAAATTTACATGATTATGTAGATTGCATACGTTTATTATGAATTGGGACAAAATCAATGTATTGTGCTTGGATATGGGGTAAACATTTCACTGTTTACAAACTTTAAATATTTTGGGATTTGTCATCTTTTACATATTAATCTAAAAGTTTAAAAGGGTATCTTCTATATTAATATTTTGGTCTCTGTAGGCTGTGTCATGATATCATTTAATCTGAAAGTAATGTATAAGATGATCTTTGAGTGATTTGTTGGTAGAAGTTCAACAACTTGCAAAATAACAATGCAGTGAATAGCTATGCATGAACTTACAAGCAAATCATGCACAACTTACTTGAGTCAAATCACTTAGACAAGCTCCTTGAGTATAGAAAATTATGTTCTATTATTTGAACATATTAATCCATGATTGATAAGATTTAACACATCTGTCTTTGGTGGATATAAATGAACAAATTTATCCTTGATACATATAATTGGATACATTTATCAGTGATGTTTATAATTGATTAACATTTGTCCATTTATGGGTATTATTGAATGCATGCATTTATTCTTAAGATATTTGATTGAATATGTTTTTTCCAAATGGATATGATCATTGAATTATTAATCCATCATGAGATATATGACTGCGTGCACAAGTTTATCCATGACAGATAGGATACATTAATCGATGAGAGATTTGATTGAATATTTTTATCCATTAAGATAAGTGTATGATTGATCATATTTAACCATGATGTATATGATTGCCGCTGCGTATTTATCCAGGACAGATATCATTGAATACATGCATTTATCTAAGATATAGATAGATATACTTGAATACATTCATTCTAATGTTTGATATCATTGAATACTTTACCCATGACAGATATGATTGAATACTTTAAAAAATTAAGGATATGGCTGAATACATTAATTTATCTATCATGATAGTCAGGAGATTATTTTGACTGTATTTTATAAAATTCTGAATTTAGTCACCACCAAAACACCATTCATTTTCCCCAAAACTGTTGATTTGCATTTGACCTATATAGGGCCATCTTTAAAAAAAGTTTGGTTGCCCTCTCCCAATTGACTGACTAAAATGGCTCAACTCCGAACTTTTTTTGCATTCCTGGATACAATATTTTTTTTCCCCTTTTATTCCTCATACCGTATAGCGGGTTTTCTTGGCGGGTGTAAAATTTGGCGTTTTGCCTGCTCAAAGGTATGCCATTAGTTTTGGCGTAATTTATTTTAGCGGGTACATGGATTCAGCTATTTGCAGATGGATACTAAGAAGAGTACGGACTATTTTAACAATTAAAATTTTAGCGGAGTATCATCAAAACGCCAAAATTAGCACCCCGCTAAAATAATCCGCTATACGGTATCCTGTCAACAAATATGTTGAAATTTTCTGGAAAAAAAGATTTCCCCCAACTACCTACTGACCCATAAATTTTACTCTGAGTCAGGAGAGGGCTACCAAACATTATTTTTAAGATTAATGGAGTTATTGAACATTAATCCAGTATTAATTGGATTGGAAACATTTATACCTGGGCAATAAAGTGATATACATTTATTCGTTTATGTATGATTGAATACTTAATCCACAATGGATAAGACCATGCTTATCAATTTTAGATAAGATTATAAACTCAGTGGCATTTTATCCTTTATAAGAGTTGTTAATATGATTATATACTATTAATTATTACTGATATGATTGAATATATTTATCCACAATGGACATGATTATACACATCTATCAATGATGGATTTTCTTGAAACCATTTATCTGCAGTGGGTATGATTGGGTACCTTTATCCATGACATATCCACAGCCGATATAAGACAGTCTTATTTTATTTCCAGGGATGTGCTTGTTATTGCTGTGGTGGATGCTATCACCTGTCTCCTAGCCGGATTCGCCATCTTCTCCATTCTCGGATATCTGGCAGAAAACCAGGGTAAAGAAGTGGGTGATGTTATACAACAAGGTCAGTATCAACTATAGAAAGTTCAAAATAAAACCAAGAAGCATACTTTATCATATCATTGCTGATTTCATTAGTATAGTTCAACTGAATACCATGGATTAATAGTTACACAGATAGTATGGAACTTATTGGAAGGGGAGATTCATGATGTGAAATTGAATTGCATATTGGGTGAGGCAAATCCAAACTAACTGTGTCCTTTATTTCATTGAAGACCTTATCACAGTTATTTTATCATAAAAGAAATAAACTATAAGTTTCAACAAACACTGTTTTTGCTGACTAGTGTTAAATGTATACTAGGTCTGCTCAAACATTATTATCATGTACTTTCAGATGATCACAGCCTGGATCTAAATTTCATATTACATGTATATGTAGTGTTATAGGATTTTTTTTTTTTAAACTTCAGTTATTTAAATATTAATATTATAAGACACGTTTTGCAGTGCACTTGCAATGTTTAATATAACTCACTTTTCATATCATGAAAAATCAGTAAAGATATGTGATAAGTACTCTGAAGTAATTAATCATTAGACTCCTTATAATTTTGTTTTCTTCAGGCCCCGGTCTAGTTTTTGTTATTTACCCAGAAGCCTTTACAACGATGCCTGTGCCTCAGCTGTTTGCAGCAGTATTTTTTGTTATGTTGATTACACTAGGACTTGATAGTCAAGTATGTACTTCTTTCATGTTATAAATTTTGATATTTTTAAACAGTAAAAAAAGAAAAATTTCAGGCTTTTACCGGTAATCTGTTATTTCAGAGAAAATTTCTTACTAAGGCAAAGTGTAAGTTGTAGCCATTGAAAAAAAATGTCTAGTCAATAATATGATCACAAATGAGAAGTATTTGATATTAAATTCACAGTAGTCATAATTGTTGCATAAAATCTGTATAACCTTGATTCAAGATCATACATGTAAAAGGTCAAGTCCATTTTAGCTAATGAAAAGGTCTGACATTTATTTTTACTCTGCAATGATTAATCTTGCTCAATTCATATTTCTATGCATGGTCATTATAATTGCACTACACAGAGCTGAGTCAATTTTTTTTTTGTCTGGTGCAAACCTTTATAGAAAGACATTAAAAATTTACAAAACATATGATTAATTTTATAGCAGTTCTTGTTTTTCAATAGGGCTAACCTGTCTAAATAGCATATTTTTCCCTCACCAGTTTGCATCCACAGAAGTGATAGTTACCACAATAAATGATCATTTTCCTCATCAAGTCAAGAAGTACCTGAAGAGAAAGGAGGTGTTAGTGGCAGTAGTCTGTGCTTTCTCCTTTCTATGCGGATTGCCAAATGTTACTCAGGTAAGAAACTCAGATCAGTCATTGGCACATTTACCTTGTAAGTACACCTGAACAAAAAATTTCAAAGTAAATATAGTACCCTACCTGGACCATACACATGGGCTATAGATAGTGCAATATCTAGGCTATACCTATGTAGCCTTAGGCAAGCTTTGTTTAGGCCTTAGGCTAGCCCTATTTAGGAAGAACCTTTGGGCTTTATTTAGAAAAATTGGAATTCAGAAATGTAAAAAAAAAAAAAAAAAAAATACCGGTAATTCGCAGACTTCCCTTTGGATTGTTTTGTGCATAAAGTTTATAAAAGCAGGTTGTTGTTCAGTACACATGTATTTATTAATAAGGTGATACATCAATCTTTGTGTTTTTTAGGGAGGCTATTACTTTTTTTCACTGATTGATCATTATGCAGCAGCGGTGTCACTCATGTACCTGGCATTCTTTGAAGTCATTGCCATCACCTGGTTCTATGGTTAGTAATGTTTATTCCAGTTTTACTGATTCATACTGAGTAAATTTGAAATTCTTGGATTTACACAATCATATAAATTTGATCTGTAAACTGTAGTTAAAGAAATACTGGTCAAAAAAAACATTGAATAATTATTCTTTGTTGTTTGCCTTTATCTCAAGTGTTCATTTTTGTAAGTTGATAAAAATTTTGACAGGTTAATACCTAGCTAAAAATTCTTAATGTATTTCACTACTTAAATGCTAAAAAATAAAAATCAGAACATTTCAAGAATGCCCTGTTCACACGCTCACGAAGTAAACTAAAAATAATGCATATTCTTTGTTGTTTGCTGGTACTTTATCTCACCAGTGTTCATTTTTGTAAGTTGATGAAAATTTTGACAGGTTAATACCTAGCTAAAAATTTCTTAATGTATTTCACTACTTAAATGCTAAAAAATAAAAATCATTAAATTCTCCGAACATTTCAAGTAACTTTACGTTTACTTTGAATTAAACTCTCCGTGTGAACAGGGCATCAGTTTATAAAAAAAGAGGTATTTTTTGTCCACAGGGTATATGGTTGTTCAGTATGATTAGCTACCGTCCCTTCCACCTGGGTGGCTACCAGTACCCGGTCTGGGCTACAGTACTGGGCTGGTTCATAGCCACCTTGTCTGTGTTGTGTGTTCCCATAGGAATGGTTCACTCTATATATCAGGCCAAGGGTAGCAACTTATGGCAGGTAAGGTTATTTACCTGTAAGGTTACAGTTTGTGCCATGTACCATTTCAAGCATTTTTAGCTCACCTGAGCCTTGCTCAAGTGAGCTTTTCTGATCACATTTTGTCCGTCCATCTGTCTGTTTGTAAACTGTTCACATTTTTGACTTCTCAAGAGCCACCGGGCCAATTTTGACCAAACTAGGTACAAAGCATCCTTAGGTGAAGGGGAGTTTGAATTGTTAAAATGATGGGCCAAGTCCCCTCACAAGGTGAGATAATCGAGAAAAGACAAAAATTGGGTTGGGTCATAAAAAAATCCATTAATAAAACTGGGCCAGAAAAGCTGACACTTATGTGGAAGCATTCTTGGGTAGTGTAGATTCGTAATTTTTCAAACCATGACCCCCGGGGGTTTGGCGGCGCTGCAATAGAGAATCCAAGTTTTGCACTGAAATATAGGAAAAATCTTCTTCTAAAGAACCACTGGGCCAGAAAACCTGAAACATATGTGGGAGCATCCTGGGGTAGTGTAGATTTTAAATTGTTCAAATCATGACTCCCGGGATAGTGCTTAGCTGCGATAAGGAATCCAAGTTTTACATTGAAATATATAGGAAAAATCTTAAAAATCGTCTTCTGAAGAACCACTGGGCCAGAAAAACTGAAACTTATGTGGAAGCATCCTGAGGTAGTGTTGATTCTTAATTATCCAAATCAAGACCCTTCGGGATAGGGTGTGTCACAATAGGTATTACCAGGGGGGGGGATCTGGTAAAGAACAGCATGACCCATATTTACTCAGGTGAGCGAGGTGGCCTATGGGCCTCTTGTTCATGTTGCTATCACACTGTATTGAAAAAAAATCTTACTCTGTGCCATAGGAGCTGGTGGCTTAGTCTTTTCTGTCATTGGCACTAAGATAATCTGGCCCTTGTTGACTTTTGTGTAGGTGAATTGATATGATATGCTAGCCTAATAAGCTTTTTAGTTCTCCTGAGCTGAAAGTACAAGTGATCTTTTGTGACCATCTGTTGCCCATCTGTTTGTCTGTCTGTAAACTTTTCACATTTTCAAGAACCATTGGGCCAATTTAAACCAAAGTTGTTACAATACAATTTTGGGTGAAGGGCAGTGTAAATTGTTAAAATAAAGGGCCAAGCCCCCTTACAAGGGTAGATGATCAAGAAAAGACAAAACTAGAGTAGGGTCTTTAAAAAATCTTCTCAAGAACCACCAAGTCAAAAAAGCTGAAACTTGTTTTTGAGCACCCTGGGGTAGTGTAGATTCTAAATTCTTCAAAGCATATGACCCCCGAGGGTAGAGTGGGACCACAATAGGTATTACAAGGGGAAATCTAGTGAAGAACAGCAGGCCAAAGTTACCTAGGTGGGCGATGTGGCCCATGGTCCTCGTCAGTCAATTTCAGTTTGATATATTTGCCTTCTTGGCTTTTGTGTCATTGAAATTTAAGTTTTCCTGTTCTTGTTAATGCCTGTCTCAACAGTTTTTATGGGAGGAAAATGATATTACTCTATTTATACTGTCTGTCTCCATCAGGATAGGATAAAAACAGTCTGCACAGGTTTCTAACCTTTCATTTTCCTTATTTTTTTCCAATCTCTACCCTTCAAATCCCCTTTTCCTTTCAATTTGATGAGAATTAAGTCTGTTTGTTATTATTGTTAAACTTAAACTTGTTTTTTTTTTTTTACAGAAATTGAAAAACTCTATTGTGTCACCATTAGAAGAACATACAGATGCCTCATATCCAAGTCTATGTAATGGGGACATGGTTCTCGAGGTTAAATCGGACAAAAAGGAACCTCTTAATCATTATTGATATTAATCTGAAAAATTAGGATAATTGTAAGAATTAGATATATTAATATCTGTTGTACTGAAGCATAATTTTTTTTTACCAATTTTTGCCAATTTTTTTTTTTTACCGTTTTAGTATGTACACATTTCAAATAGGACACTGAAAAAATCTGTATTTATTTGCACAAATGATCAAGGCTTTTAAAGCAATTTTATGGAAATATGAATATCAGGTTGAACCATGCAATTAAAATGATCATATCTGTGTAATAAGAAAAAAAAGTTGCATATCTCATAGTTTGTGCAAGTTAAATTGGGGGCACCTGTTATGGTCCCTGATTGGTGACTCAAAAACAGTGCTGTGCTGTAAACCAACTTTTATTCACATCACCGTTATTTTGCGATTTACATGGGGACGGGGGTAAATAATTTAGTGATGCTTAATTTGTGCAATCAAGCCTATTTTGAATCCATTGTCTTTTAGGACCAAACTGTGGCCGGAAATATTCGCAATAAGGATCCCACGAACCTCACAAAAATTCTCGCACGCTAATAAAAGTTGGTTTTCAGTATTTAGAATAGAATTCATTTTATTGTATTCAGACGAGTGTATGTAATGTATTCCATTGAATGTACTGAAGAAACAGGAGGATGTTTGATTTTGACTATAGACATAATCAGGTACTAAATTAATATACTTTTCATGATTTTTTTTCATGATTTTACCATGTATTTTTCAATATAAAACTATTGCATTGTTGAATTTTTTTATTAAGAACAATGTTTTTTTTTTTTAGATTTTAAGCAGTTATAGTATATGTTTTTGTATTTTGTTTCATGAAAATCCCATACAAAAGTTGTATGGTGACTGTTAATCTTTAGAACTTTATTTTTGGTTTAAATCATTTGTGTATAGACACACAAAGAATATAACAATATGTTGATGACATTCATCATGTGACCATGCACTAGGAAAAATGTTTGGAAAAACATTATGATATACTATTTTTATTTGATTTTTTAAACAAAAGTATTTATAATTTTTATAGTTTTTGTTTGAATGAAAAAGGACTTGTGTACAGGCATGAATAAGCAGAAATATTATGTATTGAACTACAATGTAAAACATTTATATATGACCAGACTGACATTCCATTGGTCTTTTGGGTATTTGACCTTCTCCAATGCTGGGGTGAAGGTACTCAATCAGCCCCAGTCCTAGGATGACTTTTTCACTACAGTTGTATTTATCTATTATATAATTTAGTTGTAGATTCTGATAAAGAAGCTGGTCTTGTATTATTTAAAAAAAAAAACATTTTATATTAGAATTTTATTGAAGCATGTACAGGTACATGGGGTACTGCATGTATTTGATTTTTTTTTTAACAACTCCTTTTACAATGTTGTGTCTATTATGAAAACAAAGAAATGAAAAGATTTATAGAAAAAATAGTTGTTTTTTTCTTTCTATTGTGCCAGTTCAGAGTTCGACAAGGTTCCTAAAAATCATAAACATTTTTACCTCACCTGAGCTTTCAGCTCAAGTGAGTTTTTCTGATCACCAGTTGTCCATCATCTGTCTGTCCATCTGTAATCTTTCAGATTTTCAACTTTTTCTCAAGAACCACTGGGCCAATTTCAAACAAAGTTAGTACAAAACATATCGGGGTGAAGGGGAGTTTAAACTCTTAAAATTAAGGGCCTAGCCCCCCTTACAAGGTTAGATAATTACCGGTAAGGAAAAAATAACAATGTGGGGTCATTAAAAAATCTTCTCAAGAACCACTGGGCCAGAAAAGTTGAAACATGTGGAAGCATCACTTCACGAAAAAGGTCCTACGGTACCCTGCTCAATGGCCATAAGTACAGAGTATAGGACAAAATTTGCGGCTCTCCACCGGTATGTGGTGGCATCTCCTTATGTCAATGAGTGAAAATTCTTAAGAGGGACATTAAACAACATACAATCAATCAATCAATCTTTGGGTAGTGTAGATTCTAAACTGTTCAAATCATGACTACTGGGGGTAGGGTGGGTCCACAATTGGGAATCAAAGTTTGCATAATATAGAAAAAAATCTTTAAAAAATCTCAAGAACCACTGGCTCAGAAAAGTTGAAACTTGTGTGGAAGCATCTTTGGACAATGTACATTCTAAATTGTTCAAATCATGACCAGAGGGTAAGGCAGAACCACAATAGGTTATTCAATTTTTACATGACATATATATAGAATGTTTTTTTTTAAAAATCTCTCCCTCAGGAACCACTGGTCAGAAAAGATGAAACTACTGTGGAAGCATCTTGGGGTAGTGTAGATTCTAAATTGTTCAAATCATGACTCTCTGGGGTTGGATGGAGCCACAATAAATTTTACAAAGGGGTGAAAAATTGGTGAAGAACAGGGCCAAAGTTACTTATGTGAATGCTCTGGCCCATGAGTCTCTTGTTTAAAGTTTAATGTGAAGACTTAATCATCAAATTTGAGAAAAATCCCCTTACTTATAATTGTATTGATAACTTTACATTATGAGAGAAGATAAAAACAAATTTTAAAGAAAAGGACAGCAGAAAATTGCAGTGTAGTATTAATATGGGTTGAATAGCAAAAGTTTTATCAAGACTTATCCTACAGAGTTTTAGAAATTACAGAGATCTGCACCCTCCCTTCAGTGGTTGTTTCATTTATTAAAGTAAATGGTTTGGTATTAACATGTATAATATCAAGGTCTTATCAACTGGCACCAAAATACTTAGTCAGTATTGATTTCTGTAAGGATGATGCATCAGATGATTTTGCTTCCGATTATGCAACTTGACAATTATTTCTGGATGAGTAACCAGGATATATAGTAGTATGATCCATCTCTATCCCAAATAACTTGGATTAAACATGCATGAATGATTCACATATTAAAAGGTTCCAACTCCAGAGGCTGCATCTAACCTTTAGTGGCCATACAGATTTCATCAAATGCGTAATATGTAAATTAGTTACTAGCAAGAAAACATTCTAATGATAAGGAAATTTCAAGGTATTTTCTTGACCATAAAGTATGAGAATTTGTTGCACATACTGGTTAGCTATGCTCGTCAGTGATCTTTAATCCTGTGGTTCTCATAAAGTAGAACAACAACAGAACCTCCAGATCTGACATTGTAGCATTTTTAGCACTTCTTAACCAAAGTGAATTCAAGGTCAAAGGAAAGGTCAAGGTAAAAAAATGTTGATGCATTTGAATAGCTTACATCAGTATGTTTTAGCTTATGAAGTTGGATAAGGTTATCTTGAATAGTTTCTTTAAAACATGGGCTACATGTAAATAATAATTTAAGAAAAGTGAGGTCAAGGTCAAAGGAAAGGTCAAGGTAAAAAAAAAAGTTGATGCAGTTAAATAGTTCTTATCATTAGCTATCAGCAAAGATATCTTGAATGGTATCTTTGAAACTAAGATTTGAACTGAGCTAAATGCAAAGCAATATGATAGGACAGACAGAAGGGCAGAAGAAAGACATGACAAACTCTACATGTCCTATCCATTTTCATGACAGGGCACAAAAAGTAGGTCACAGAGACCTACTTTTTTAATTTTGCAGGAATTCATTTTCAATTTGTGTTAGATGCATATTTTATACACTTAAAAACCCAAGATCATTAAACTTTGTCTGTTGATGCATCTGGATCCTCCAAGTGTGTCAATCATAAAGTATGTCACTGTGACCTACTTTTGAACTTTTATGGCTATAATTAAATTTCTCGGGTACTAATTAGCTTAGAATCATCAAACTTTGCCAATTGATGCATCTTGGGTCCTTGGAATATGTCAACTGAAAAGTAGACAACCTTGTCAGACCTACTTTTGGAATTTGATGCCTATATTTAAATATTTCGATACTTATTGGCTTAGAATAATCAAACTTTGTGAGTTGATGCATCTAGAGTTTTCAAATTAGTTCAACTGAAAAAGGAGGTCACTTTTAAATTTGAATATTCAGGTACTTTGAAAAGAAGTCACTGTGACCTACTTTTGAATCTCATGGCTATATCTGAATATACTTATTGGTTTAGAATCATCAAACTTTGTGAGTTGATGCATCTTGAGTTTTGAAATTAGATCAACTGAAAAAGTAGATCACCATGACCTACTTTTAAAATCTTATTGCTATATTTGAATATTCAGGTACTTTGAAAAGAAATCACTGTGACCTACTTTTGAATCTCATGGCTATATCTGAATATACTTATTTGGCTTAGAATCATCAAACTTCGTGAGTTGATGCATCTTGAGATTTCAAATTAGTTCAACTGAAAAAGTAGGTCACCATGACCTACTTTTAAAATCTTATTGCTATATTGAATATTCAGGTACTTTGAAAAGAAGTCACTGTGACCTACTTTTGATATTTCTCATGGCTATATCTGAATATTTAAAATAATAAGGAGCTTATAATTATCAAAGTTTATCAGTTGATTCAAGACTTATCTATATACACAGATTACTTACATTGGCTTCAAATAGAAGTGATAAGTTGTACTACATGTATTTATCAGAAGAGTGATTCAAGGCCCTTGGGCCTCCTGTCTGACACGTTTTGCAACAGGCGATAAAGATGTCTAACAACATTGTATATATAGGGAAAACTTGTCTTTTCAAACTGGCAGGTCACAGGTCAAGGTCACCCCATCCAATAATAAATCTCAGGACCAGTGTACATTCCTATTAAAACCTCTATATTTTACCATTTTAAAAGATGAAGGCCACATTGAAGGGCAACATTATTCTCATGTCAGCCTCCAAATAACGTGAGGTCATTTAATACACTGAAGCTTTGCGATTATAAATTATCTATCTACATGTATATATAAATGTACTCCTTTTAAGCCTACTGGCCACATCACTCTCTTGAGCACTGTGGCCGGAAAAAGAGCAAATTTCAGTTCAGCATTGAAAGGCTTAAATGCCTAAGTGGTCCAGACCTACCCATAAGAGAGGGGGTGGGGTGGGGGTATCTACACTTACTAAGGATACTCACATATTTTTGACTTTTTTTCCTACTTTGAACTTTCATTGTTGCCACACCCTACCCCTGGGGTCATGATTTGAACAAAATTGAATCTACACTAACTGAAAATGTTTCCATATAAATATTGAAGATTCAGGATTATATAGTTTTTGTCCTGTCCATCTATCTGTCTGTATATCTGTTTGCCCACAAAAACTTTAATCTTGCCCATAACTTTGGACTATTTGGGGTTATGGCTTTCATAATTCATGGGTTTATTCCCTGTGACAACATTTTTCTTTGGGTACCACCAAATCTGACCTCCTGACCTTGGAGTTTGACCCACTTTCACAAAAAATTCTGAATCTTTAACCTTTGGCATAACTTTTGAACAGTTGGTGCTAGGGCTTTCATACTTTACGTCATGTGTCTTCATTGTGACAAGACCTTTCAATTAGTATAATGAAGACCTTTTGACTTTGACTTAAGAGATTGACCAACTTTGTAAATAACTTTAACCTTGGCCATAACTTCTGAACAGTTAATACTAGGGCTTTCATATTTTAGAGGTGTATTCCATGTGAAAAGAACTTCCTATTGATACCATTAATTTTAACCTTTTGACCTTGACCCTGGAGTTGACTAGCATTTGATAAACTTCAACCTTTGCCATTAGCTGCCATACAGGGGGCATCAGTGTTTCACAAACACATCTTGTTTTCTCTAACCTCCTCATTTTGACTTTAACTTTTTCAAACATGCATCGTCAAAATTGGTCCATATTAAATATTCAACAAACCTTGCCAATTGATGCATCTCGGGAAGGGGAAAGGCATGTCAAGAGTCAAAAGTACATTCAATCAGATTTAGCAAAATAATGCAGACATTGACAGCAATTCTTTTTTAAATAAAGTGCCACGCTACAGCATGATACGCCCGTCAAAAAATTACAATTATAATGTATCTTAAACAGTTAAAAGTGCAGGAAAATCATGTCAACCTTGATTTTAAGATTTCAATGATTTTTACACACCTTAAAAAATTTGTTTATCCATCTCATGTGGTGTAGGCATTAATTATAACAAATATTGCATCATTCATAGATTTCTATACCTTGCCAAATGCCTATCATGTTAAACAATATCAAATTAATCTTCACAACTTAATCTATACCTAATTAATTTTGGAAATAAAAGGCTGGCCATCAAATATAAACTGACCAACAGTTCTTCTGTCTAATTCCCGAAGGAGACAATTAAGAGCATGCTCTGAAGTAATGAAAGAGACATGCAGCTAGCCTTCCTACATTGAACACATTAATTAATCTTTAACTGGATGCTTGTCTACTCATTACTCCCAAAAGATTATTGGATCTGCACTATCTACCATAAAACATTTTTAAAACGTATAAAACATCAATGATTGGTTTTTTTTTAGATTTAATGTCAGACAGTTAATTGTTAATATGCAATTCACATGGACATGCAGATTCAACCCCTACCCCCATAAAATTAATTTTTAAGTTCACAATATTATGTAATAGTTTAATATGCAATATCAAATTAGTTTTAATTACTTCTCATCAAATTCATTTTAAAACTTTGGCTATCCAAGAAGAGCTATTTTTAATCCAAAAGGCTTACCCATTTGGCCCAATACTCAAGATAGATACATAGATAGCACTGATGCTCTTACAGCTACTCCTCACACTAAACTCATTAATTTCTCTCTCTAATTTGACATGCAATTTTCTGTTATCAAAATTCTTCTTGACCAGTGCTTGATAATTAGACTCATGGGAGTGGTGGAATTTCTCTAACATACATTACATTTGTTATAGATTGCTGTCAAGTATATATGCTAAAAAAATAAGTATTTTCTTAATTTAACATTTTTCTAATAAGGTTAGTGCAATAGTTTTACATTTTTTTGAATGTGTAAATGAATAGAAATAAAGACATTTCTTTTTAAAAATTCCACTTAAATTAAAGGTCACAGTGACCTTGAAATAGGTCGCGACACACCTTCTACCTAAGATGCATAAACTGGCCAAGTTTGATGATTCTAAGTCTAATAGTTTTTTAGTTATGAACCGGACAGGATTTTTCCATATTTGGCTATAACTTTTTAATTATAGGTCAGAGCGACCTACTTTTTGTGCGCGACACACCTTCTACCCAAGATGTATCAGCTGACAAAGTTTGATAACTCTAGGCCTTATAGTATTCAAGTTATGAGCCGGACACGAGAAAAGCTAACAGACGGACAGACAGACAGACAGACGGACGGACACGAAGCCTATAACATAATACGTCCCGTCTTAAGACGGGCGTATAAAAATTTCATGTACATCAAAGGCGAGAAAAGTCAGATGGGCTAAATAATGATCTCAGTCTTAGGACTTCACAGTAGAAAAGTGGGACTGAGATCAAAAGTGGTCTTGTCTCTGTTTTATGGTACCGGAAATTCTATGATGGACAAAGAGATAGATAAGGTCACCTGAGTGACCTAAAATTATAAAGAATAACTCCATTTATAATAATAAGGATTTTATTTTTAATCAACTGAGCTGCCAATAGATTATACATTTTGTGACTCCTTAGAACTTTAACCTCCACACGATGCTAATCTATGTATACATTCCTACACAATTCTACTCTATATATTCCACCATGCCACAAAATAAATTATGCTGCCTTCAAACAGGAATAGGTTTTGTTCTAGGGGTGTAATGATATTTAAGTATGTGTATATTAACCAAAATACACAATTAAATTTAATTGCTTTGCAGTCCCAAAAAATGTATCCTGAAATATCACATTTTTTCATTTTAATAAACATTTTCTGATTGATTCTAATAATTTAAAAAAAAAAAAACAAGAAAAAAATTGATCTTCACCTTTTATCATTTTACATTGTAAAAATTATCATTACACCCCTAAATTGTTCCTCATGTTGGTTATAAATGAAAATGAATCTTTGTCCACAATGACTATTCACAAAAGAACTGAGGAAACATATTTATATATGTAAACAATTTACTTGTTTGGAACAAATGATTAATAATAAAAAAAAAAAAAACAAAACTTCAATATAGATAGCACTTTTCAACCCAAACATTTTTTAAAGGAAACAAAAATGTACAATCATTCCATCAATTCACTCACAGATGGAACTGTTAAACTAAATGTTTTAAAAATAAAATTCATTTAATATGCTCAAAACATTCAAATATTTTTTATCTTGATCCCAATACTAATAAAATTAACATATCTTACAAAGAGGACAGAAAACAAAAATACTTAACATGTAATAAAGAGAAAAATGAACACAATCAAAACTCTACAGGGAAAAGTCTCAACTGTCAACAGGGTACAAATTCAACTGTTCACAGGGAAAGTTCTCTACTGTCAGTAGGAAAAGTTCTCAATGGTCTGCAGGGAAAATTTACAACCGTCAACAGATAAAGTCATCAGATGAAGTTATTCTTGGGACTTGGTGGTAGTCACTGTTGTTATCATAAGTCATGGTCTGCCACACTCTGTTTCAGGTACTCCGAGTAAAGGGATTGCTGCAATGATTGAAATGCCATTCAAATAAAAAATAAAACTGTGTACAAAAAATGAATTAAACTGTTTTGAAAGCATCAATCTATCAGGTTAGAGTAAAGCCGACACCCTTCTAGAGGAATAATGAAATGTTTACATTTATCTAAGACCTGTCTAACCCTTTGATGCAGAGGTGTAATTTTGATCCGCATTCTGGTGGAATTTTGAAGACAAAAGAGGAATTTTTTGTATCTTCATACTTTGTCTTATGGTGATTTTATATCATCTAGGCCTAAATCAGACTCAAGATTATATACTGAATAAAAAAGGACTAAGATTACGTGATTTCATTAATTATGTATTGAAGAAAATCTTGGATTCTGTAAAACTTTTGCATTCTTACATCCCAAAATGCCTTAAACTTACAATTCCACCGTTTTATTGAAGTATTTGGTCAATAGCTTGTGCATCACAAAAGATCTGATCTTACAGTGGTCAAATGTCATTTTAATTGTTAAAGCAAGACTACCTGGTAAGTACATTATGTATTTACATCTGCTTCTTCCAAATTTCAACACCTATTGCAAGGCTAAGTTTGAAAGCCATCTTGGTTATGATCATTTCCCATATTGCACTTGTAAAGAACTACATCCCCCTTAATATGTAAAGCGCTTTTTAGATTTTGTGTACATGTATATGTTTGTATCAATCTGATGCAATAGTTAGTCTTTCTTAAAAGAATACTCTAAATTGCTCAATGTTTATGCCTGAAATTTTTAAGCATAAAATTGAAATTTATGACATTTAATGACATAATTCACGGATGAATGGAGAAAAAATAGACCAAAAGTGGAAGGGTAGACAGGTCTGTTACCATCTAAAATTGTTTTCTTTAAAGAGAGTGTTGTCCCAACGTGTTTTTAATTCACATATGCCTTACCTTCTTCTTTTTGACAATGTTCTGTACATACTCTCTGACTCCTGATAAGTACTTCTTGTCCTTCCGAGAAAGAGTTGGCTTTGTTCTGGAATGAGGTCAAATGAATAAAATTCTTAGTCCTTAATAAATACATCACTGTTACAGTAACAAAATCAATCATTTCACTTCAAAAGTTTCTGTAAATAAATTGTAGCTTCAATATTTTCATACAAGAAAAAATGTTGGATTGGATATACTTTTCTTTTCCATTTTACACTTACAGAATTATGTAACTTGATGTTTTTTAAACTTGTGTCTCAAGTTTATTTGAAATTAAACCAATACGGAGAGAAGCATTACTCAGTGCTTGTATTCAGCATTAATCTAATGATCCACTGGACCAAGTAATGGTTCAACATGGGTCTTCTAACCAAATCTTACTTTATGCATGAAGTCAATAAAGGATAAATTTGTTCATTTATTTAAAAGTCTAAATGTTGGTCACATTAAAGTACAATTTAAATCATCACAGGCACCAGATACACTTATGTATGTATTTATACAAGTCAGGTGAGGCAGACCTAGTAAAGCAATTTTCTTCATAAATCGTTGTAACAGATGTTGATATACTGGTGAAATCATATACTGACAAAGGAGTGACTAACAAGTTCTCAATAGTTCAGACCTAAATCAGTAAACTGAACTGGGCCGAGTAGCAGGTGTCACCTAAATTTACAATCAAGACTAGCTCAGCAGCAAGTTTATACAAAGTCCACATCTGTATATGATTCATGCACACATTTAGAAAGCATTCCCATCATCTTTAAATAAAGTGAATGTACTGTATTTGTTGGTTTTTAAAATAAGTAACTTAAAGCTTATCAAAAAATTTAGTTTGAAACACAAAGCCTAGAGTAAAATGTGTATCTTTCAGAGGATAATTTTGCCATTACAAAGAATGTTCAATCTCAATCTTGCACATGTAGCACAGTTTACCCATCAAGTATTACTAGACTAAAATGAAGATAGCAGACAGAAACAGGAGTTTTTATTATTGATCCTTTTTTGAAAACGAATGGCCTGAAAACTGTAAGTTCTAATTCTGCAAAACAAATCATACCTTGAGACATATCTTGCTATTAGCAGCATTACAATGGTAAAGAACAGGATGAAGTATAGGATGTAATTAGAATACTGGGGAGGGATGGCTCTCCAACCTCTGGCCAAAGGACCCTAGGAAAAAAAAAATATAAACATAAAATTATCTTTAAACTAAAATTTATAGAAAGATTATCCAAAATGTACATGTATAACAGTGATGTATTTTTCGGCAGTTAGCCTGAATCCAGGAGAATTTGCAGTTCTTAATACCAAATAAATCCCCAATGTATCCAAAATATTTTCTCCCAGGATGTCTTTCATGAATTTCTGTTGTGTTGAGATGAGGTATGTGGTCAGCATGATGAATGGCATGATCACCCCCAGCAACCCAAAGCTGGCTCCCCGAAATCGTGCAGATAGGTTTTCACTGCTTGTCTCCCTGCAAAAACATTAAAGTGTACTTTTTTATCCCTATTATATTTTTCAATTATAATTGACAGTAAATTTTCTAAAAGCTCAAAGTTCTGATGGTGGAAACTTTCTAATCGTATTTCTAGGTACGAATCTAAAATAGCTTATGTCAGCAAAATATTAAGTTTTTGAAAATGATTATTCAAATGTGACAACTGGAAAGTCAAATGTAGTAAATAGACATTAGAACAATAACAAATAAAAATATGCAATCACAGGTGAATAAAAAAGTTGTAGAAATAATTTGTTAGTAAAGTAGTATGCTTTTTGGTTTTGTTTATTATTTCTTAAAGCCCCCCTTCCTCCTTTAATTAGAACAGACTTAAACTTATCAGTGCAATGATTTGTCACCGTAATGCATACTCAAAACACAACTTGCTTCAGCTAAGAAATTAGTGCAAGAGTAAGAAAAGAATCACCAAATATTCAAATATGAAAACCACCCAGCTCCAAACCAGAGGACATGTGAACTATCATACCAAATTTGAACTTAATTGGACTACAATAAAAAAAGTTATTAGGAAAAAACAGAAAATTTGTGGACGGAAGAATGAAATGATTACTCAAATATGCAATCACAGGTGAATAAAAAAGTTGTAGAAATAATTTGTTAATTATTTCTTAAAATTAGGAATTATCATGCAATGTAGGGGTGAAATTAGTGCAAGAGTAAGAAAAGAATCACCAAATATTCAAATATGGGGAAAATATGTATGTCATCTTAATAATGGAATTCATGGTAGGGGTGAATGAATATGAACAGTCCGTTGGTTCTGTTCAATAATTTCTCCCCAGTGAAGAACCTACGCATTCTCTTTCAGTTTTGTTTCCACCAGTTCCGCTATTTGATCACAGTCACGCTCCAGTGAATTCAGAGTGTTCTGGATGGTTTGGTTGATGGTTTTTTCAATGTCTTGACACACATCCTCAATCTGGTTCACACAGGTGCTGTTTTTCTGATTCATGTTTGGAATGAAAATCGTTGGCATCTCAAACCCTGTACGATTTAGGTTGGGTCTCTTGCAAAGTTCTTGTACAATTTGCATTAGGACTCTCTGCAACCAAAGCATGAAAGATATCCATAGTTATGAATCTAGGAAGCAAAGCATATTAAGCCATTGTGGTTAATTCTCTATAACAGCTAAGCAAAATGAATGGGAAGCAGTTAAATAAGATAAAGGATAATTGGGAGAATTATATAATTGATAGGATGAAAAAATTACATATAAAGAGATTTAAAATAATTTCTTTCCCTTTATTGAATTGTGCTCAGGGAAACAAATGAAATTTACTTATACAATTGTACATATATCTATCATCCGTTTGTGTTTTTATCGGTCACATGAAATGATCAAAACATCATGGTAATTTTTTTCCCTTTTACTCTACCGTAAATGTTCAAATCTTAAATTACCTTAAAGCAAAAAGGGGTTTAAAAAAAAACCCGTATCTCCAAATGAAGATATTGGAAAATTTCAAACATTGAAGTTAAATAGTGGTTTTTGACATTCAACTAACTTGGATATATCTGATATTTGAGATATTTATATTCATGTTACCAAAAGTAAAAAAAAAAAAAGAAGAATTTTCATGTTAAATTGTTACCTGTCTATCCCCCTCATCCCCAGCCTCATCTGCTTTGCTAAGAAAAAATCTCATTATCTCCGAATGGTTATTGCTCAGCTCTTCCACGATGTTCAATGTCCTCTTACACAGGGCCTGACCAATCGGATCAAAGAAGACAAATATCAGGTCAGCCAACTCCCCTGTTAGAGAAAAAAATTGATAAAAACCTAATATTTCTACAATGTTCTGAGATAAACCTGAAAATACTTCTATTTCTGTATTCAAAAATGTTCGACACATTTATTATAAATCTAAAAATTAAAAACAAATTTGCTTGATTGAAGTTGCATGTAAAACATAGGTTCTTTCAATATTTAGTTCTTTTTTCCCCTTTGCATCATCAAAGGAATATATGCTGCTAAAATAGTTAGGTTTTGCAAACTAAATAATAATTATTGAAAAAATGCTTCAATTTTCCTTTGAATCTTCATTGTGACTAATTGGCTTAACCTGCCGACAAGTTAATCATTGGACATGAAAAAGATGCAAATTAAAGATTTTTACCAAGCCAAAGTATGGCTCTGTTGACATCAAATGGATATTGCATGTCTCCATCCACTAAGCCAGGCGTGTCTATAAATTTGACAAGGTTAAAGCGCTTCTGCTTGGAGGTAGAAATCTCTGTCGTCAGGTAATCAGTGACACCTGGAAAATGTTCATACAGAAATCGACTGAGGTAAAAAAAAAAGGAACATTTGATTTAAACAAGAATTGTGTTGTATACTATTAATATAGAAGAGCTTGATAAAGATCAAATCAATAAGTATAACTAATAAATTTATATTGATTTCAGTTTTTATAAAAAAGTAAATTTGCTTTCCTGTTGCTCAACTTGTTTTTATTTCTTTTATATACATTTTTTTTTTTCAATATTTCATTTTTATTTTTATCTTTAAATTTGTTTCTTGAGTACCATATCTAAATTATCTGAAGTACTCAACAAGAGACTAATAAATCTCCATGGCAACCAAAGTACAATGACTGACTTCAAATGCAATCTATAAGTTACCTTAATGACATATACACTTCCCTTATGCTGCAAGATTTTTACTTTTAAGCTCAAACTTAACATTTATCTTCAAATAACCTTGTTATTCAACGCAAAAATATTTCATACTTTCCGTCTGCTGACTCTTACCTTTTCCTTAATTACCTTAAGTTTCTATCTTGCTCATTTAAAATTAATGTAATAAATTGACTGAAGACAAAAATAACTGACTGTCATACTTAACAATTGATTTTAAACCCATAATTTGATTTTCAAGAGAGAGAGTTGATAATTATTGACACAATAGTGCTGTAAAAGTTAGATTCGAGCCACAGGAGCATAAAATGTAGAAGTTGGATTCAGAGTAACCGGAGCATAAAATGTAGAAGTTGAATTCAGAGTAACTGGGGCATAAAATGTAGAAGCTGGATTCAGAGTAACTGGGGCATAAAATGTAGAAGCTGGATTCAGAGTAACTGGGGCATAAAATGTAGAAGTTGGATTCAGAGTAACGGGAGCATAAAATGTAGAAGTTGGATTCAGAGTAACTGGAGCCTAAAATGTAAAAGTTGGATTCAGAGTAACTGGGGCATAAAATGTAGAAGTTGGATTCTGAATAACTGGGGCATAAAATGTAGAAGTTGGATTCAGAGTAACGGGAGCATAAAACCTGAGAAAAAAATTTCAGAAAGTCAACGGGAGCATAAAATACAGGTATATGCATTATATCTCAGACTGTGGCAGGCAGCACACTAAATCATATCCTTAGCTGACCACTTCGGAAAGTTTACCGAGATTGAGCCAGAAAGAGACTCATGACTTTGAATTTATGAGAAGATACTTGGCAGGGCATTTACTTGGATATATAATTTAGGTAAATTATTAAAGTTATTAACAAAGTCTCTAAAACCTATATATTTCATTGAGTCAATGAACCATAAACATACAGTATATACAATTTACCTAGTATGCATATATGCACCATACCTGCAACTTTGATTTGTATAACCCTGAATATAAGAAAGAAAGTGGCTAAAAAGCCCAAGCTTACTTTGCATACAACCTACAGACATACAGTTGGCAGGGCATTGTCGTTGGAATATATAATTCAGATACAACTTCATCCAAGTTATTAACAAACTCTCTCATCACTTCTATATATTTATTTCCTGATATGTCATCTTTAATAAACATTAAAATTTCACTATCCCAGGTTACATCTGTATGCATTTGCTAATATATTCAGACATTTTTGTCAGCATTCTAGCAATAAAGGTCAATAATTGTATTGTCTGGAAATCATGGGCCAACAACATATGTCACTAAAATGTCCATTGATCAAGAGCCCTGACAATAATATGAAGTCTTCAATTATTCATGTACATGTTATAATGTGATCCTGTGAGAGTAACCAGTATAAACAAATCACAAACTAGCAACAAATCAGATGTCTTGTTTATATGAATGACATGAATTCCCTTACATCAGAGTAACCAAAGGAAACATCTAAACAATCAAAACCAAGCTAAATCTCTGGACCTAGTTACAAGCAACATGAGATGGTTCTGAATCAATACTTCACATCTTTTACCTTATATAAACACATTTTATTAGTTTCATTTCATTTTAAAATATTATAGTTTATATAAAGATTATCAACTGTCTCATCTTTCATTCACATGGTATAACCTATCTCACCTAAAACTTGTATCACAACTATGATCTTTTTGTTAAATTCAAAATTAAACAGGGTCTCCATTTTCAGTATAATTGACACTTGTCTCTTCTTATAGAATGATCTCAAACTATTGTTATATGGCTATTCTAGCATGCTAACAATGCACTATACATGATGAGAGGTATATGACACATCACTACACAGGTGACAAGACGTTTGTTCATGCATGCACTAGCCTGATTGGTATGTTGAAGTTTGCTTGGTGAGCAGAAACAACAGCCCTTCATTTGGCAGCTCTCAGCTCAGATTTGCACGAGATAGCTGGCCAAAGGAAAAACTACCATTCCAAGCTTGTCAAACAGTGGAGTATCCAGTGCACAGAAAGATGACCTTCTACACAAAGTGAATATGAGGCAAATATTATATGATTTCCAATATGGCATTTGATCATGCAAACGAATATTAAAAAGATATTGAAAAACTGGTGATCTTTGCACAAAATTGAAAAAATAAGTGCTCTCTGCAATGGATTTCATAAAAGAATAATTGAATATCAGTGCAACCAGCCTTATAGAAAATGGTGAAGACATGACATTTCAGTATCAGACAGCATGCAAAGGATGGTGACAAAATACCATACATCACTCTAGATAAATTATAAACTGATGACTTCAGTGGAGTCAGAAGTACTAGCTTCAGTGGCTTAAAGGTCTGCATTGGCATGTGTGCTTTAAGAATGGCAGAAAGTCGGGTAACTGCTGACTAGGAGAACATGCCAGACAGATCAATACCAAGGCAGGTTTAAAACCTCTGGATAAGGTCAGCCTTTTCAACATCAGCACACAACAATTTCCATCATGTCAGCCAGAGCTCAATGTTACGACCTTCCTCATTGCTTCAGAAACCTGTCACCTGCCTTGTTTGTCACACTGAATGTTTATACCCTACAGATGGAGTACACCAAGGCAATTCACTCCCCTCTGAAATGTTCACATAGAAAAATATTTTGCAATTTATACCGTGTATTTTTCATTAGACTATAATTGCGGTCGTATGCTCATAGCTGACGTCAGTCACCTTTACAAAGGGAAACGACCTGTTAAGGAATGGGATGAAAGAACTTTCCAGTACTTCAATCTTGACATTCAAAGAAAATTGTTAGTTAATTACATGTTTGCCTTAGAAATACATGGGAGTGAAAAGGTGATGGTCTGAAACTTAGGTTGTGTTGGCCTTAAAACAGGACAGCTCTTCATCAGGCAGCTTGTAATAAATAATCAAGTCTACCTAGTGAAGAACCGTCTGCTCATCAGCACATTCCTTTGAATCAAACAAATTTCAAATTCCTTTTAAAGACACTGAATACAAATCAATTTCCTTTACAAGATAAGCGTTTTTGTTAATACTAATCTCATATTCATTCTCAATTTTAACCTGCAATGCTTTCATTTCCAGAAAAATTTCAACTTCTGAAAAAAATAAGACAAAGAATACAAATCAATTTCCTTTACAAAACAAGCGTTTTTGTTAATACTAATCTCATATTCATTCTCAATTTTAATCTGCAATGCTTTCATTTCCAAAAAAAATTCCAACTTCTGAAAAAAATAAAATCTGACACAATAACCACAAACCAGCTAAGTAAAAAAATCAACTTATAAAATTTGATTTTGGCAAATTAAGAAACAAACCAAAAACTTGTGGATGATCTATTCTTGCACTCTAATTTGACAGTAATTAATCAGTCTTTCCTGCTGAGTGCACTTTTAATCAATGCATTGCCTTTTTACTTAACAGAAACATGTTTCCTTTCTTTGTAGTCATGGCTATTAAGACCAGACATCAAACCTTTCTTTTTTTTTCTCTTCCTCATTGTTGTTTGTCATCATAAATAAATCCAGTTTTAATCCAAGTTCCTTGATCCATATTTGAGAAACTTTAAAGTTACAACAGGGAAAATTTTCATTTGCAAAAAAGTACATATAATACAGTTGAACTTTGGCATCCAAACAAAGATTTCTTGAATATAGCATGGCTATGTCCAAGTGAATTGGAAGTCCCAACCAATTATTTTTCAATTTCACCCTTAGTATCTTTAATCCTCTGACATTTCTCTGTTTTCTTAACCCATCAAGGTTGAGATATAAAGGTTTGACTGTATTTTTTGATTCATCACAGCTGCCCGTAAGGAAAAAAATGCCCAACCTATTTATTCTTTTTCTGAATTCTAAAGATTAATACATGGATCAAACAAATCAAAAATTTTATTTACAAAAATAAATTATAACCCATTTCTTTCATTTATGTTATTAAATTAAAAACAGATAAGAATTACAAGAGTGCAACTAATGAATCATACAAATCAGTACAGCAAACATTATGCTCAAGAATTTGGGGTTTAAAAACCATGCAGACTTGATTAAGTAATGTCCAAAAATAGACATTCCTTAGAAAGGAAGTTCGAATCAAACTTCCTTTTGTTCTGTGATTGGCTAAATCAATCTGAAACTGAAAATGGCTATTATCTACATCCCTAAAATGATATAGACTTTGATTGTCATATTCTTACCTTTAATCTGTCTAAGGGGCTCAAAATGGGGATAAAGGTGAAGAGTGGCATTTCCCTGCAAGTAAATAAGAACACGGGGTCAAGAACCAGAATAAAAAAATCTTGATTGAAATTTAAATGATCAACATTTGTCAGATAAAGATAAACATGAAAGAAGACATGTCAAAAAAAGTGTACGCTCATGAACTTCCACACGGTGTTTATTCAAGAGCCAAACACTGTGTTATTTAACAGGACTTGGCAACAATTACATGTAAACCATATATACATTCTCTGGCCCCGTGTGATCTGACCTTGAACTTCCATATCCTACTCCTACAATATCATTAAACTTCAATTCCTTTCCAAAACGTTCCTTTATATATTTTCTTAATTCATGTATCATGATCCCTTCTGCTATTGTACATTGAACAAACTGGAAGCTTTTATATTCTGCACACTCCAGTTCTGTCCAAAAATCCTGGTAATCAGCTGATAGTGACTAAGCATTATCTTCAGCATGGCGAGCTGTCAACAACCCCGTCTCAATGCATTTAAATTTTAACTTGCATCCTACATTGCAAAATAAAAAAAAAAGAACTTGCAAAATTTGATCAATTTTCTTCTAAATTAAACACTCTCAATGCAATATGATGTGTACTTGCATTGGAGTGTTTTGGTGTAATTTGCTAACATTCCTGTATTTGAACCCATCCTTTTGGCAAATAGCAACGTGATTCATGCATACCTACATACCTGTACCTACTGAACCTAAACACAGGCAAACAAACACTAAGTTTTGTCTTTAAAAAAATAAAATTGAAAAATAAAAAATATTAAAGTAACAATTTATTTTTTCAAATAAGAATCTACACATACAAATACATCTCCTTCAGAATAGTTTATTTCAATGGATGTGCAATTATGACACATTTGTGGCAATTCAAAAAATAAAATAAAATATCTTTACCTGTTATGTGCAAGTTAAATATTTTTCTTAGTACCTATGGACAACATCCAAATTACTAAAAGCTTTGCCAAGTTTACAAAGGACACACCCTTAAAAACCTTAAACTGTATGGAACAAACAAAACATGTACCTTAACCATCGAAGAATGAACACTCCCCAGTTCACTTCTCGCACCACTTCAAGATTAAAATTCAATGTGCCGGTAAAGAAGATAATTTCATAAAGTACAAAATGCCCAAATCAATCAGAATTATTTTTGTTCTTTCAAAATACTTGAAGCTTTGAAAAAAAAAATTTCAATAAGAGGTAAAAGTATAATAGCTTACAAACCTAGCTAATCTATGTTAATCCTGCACAAGAGAGGGCCTGCGGAATAGTAGCCTGATAAAACATCATAGAGTGCAACTTAAAAATGCAGACGTCTACTGCATTACCAATCAATATCAGGCTATATAATGAAAATCAGTTAGATGGACAACAAAACATAGAGTTATCCCCCTTACCGCAGAACTAATCAATATTAGACCAATGAAAATCAGTTAAATGTATATGGTAAAACAGAGTTATCCCCCTTACTGCAGAGCTAGTTATCAAATGCATCACAGGTACATTAAGTAATAATATTATGATAATAAAAAGTTGTAAACTTTGAACTGAATTTTTAATTATATAATCAGAACATAAAATCACCAGCATAAAAAAATAAATTTCATTGCAGAAAATCTCACTGCGAGGCATAAATATATGTTATGGTCACTATCTTAAGGCTTAATCATGCATTCTTATCTCTTCCTTGGGTGCAAATAATTTCCATTTTACATATCATTAAACTTGTGGCTATTATATCATGTCTGTAAAAGGTCAATAACATTACAAACTGTTGTCCCGGAAAACAAATCTATACAGCCATACTGGTCAATGTGAGTTCAGACCATGACATTGACCAACAATACAGGCACATCGCCAGGCTAAATTCAACTCATTTCATTTTCTCCTCAGTGCTATGAACATCGGAATATCAAATCCCAAGTTTACATAAAAGATTGTTTTTGGTAAACTCATTAATAAAAGATGATTCAAATATATACATTTTTTTCAAATTCCTGATCAGGAATGTTTCCAGGGTGATTTATCATCTATAATAGAACATAACTCCATTACACCCATTACACTATAACCATAACTTCAGTAAAAATCCATAGTCACAGCTTTATGCAAGCTGTGCTATCTAATAAATTATTGCAACGTCAGCACAATTCATAAGCATCCTCCACTTTGGTCCGCCTACATATAACCTAAGATTGAGCTGTACAGCAAGACAAACATGAATTGCTTTCTTTTTAAAATATATAAACCACTTTGATTAATCAGATATAACAATATCACTCCCATTTTCAATACTTCTATTTTTTTAAAAAATATCTATGAGAAGTGTACATGTGATAAATCATGAGAGGGAGGGACAATCAAGCTGACATATGGAGGGTCATCATACTGACATTTGACATCCCAATGACTTAAATACAATGTACTATCATTACCATGACCTATTTACACTGAATTTAATCATCCCTTTTTCATTTGACTTGGATGTTTGTAAACTACCATTTTTAGTTTCAGGGACAAGAAAACTTTTGACCTTGACCTCGTGACAGTATAGTGCAAATGACAACAATTGATTCGAGTCATAAAGTACGGGCAAAGTCTAAAATATCATCCTTGTATACATGTACATAAGGAAATCATATTTTCACTTTTCCATTATCGACAGATGATTAAATATGAAGATAACAGCTAAGTAAATGTTAGCTTCAACAAAACCGATCATTTATTGATGACATCATCAATTGGGAAGTTTAAAATTATTTAATAAGATACAACATTTAAAGATATTGAACTGGTGTACACGATTGAGTTGTCATATCTTTAACCTGAGCCAAAGGTTTCAATCAACAGACCTTATCTAACTAGATGCAGCTCAACTCTACACCCATGTGTCTCTGGCAAATGTAGGATTCAACGCACAGCTGAATACCAGACTTTAGCCTGAAACTGAACTTTAATTCCACAGGTTACAACCTTGCACAGATTACAAAATCTTAACTCTCTCAATTTTAATAATTTGTTTTTTTTTTCATAAAACTTGCTATCAAGGGAAACCTAAAATATCATTTCTTTAAATCCAAATTGTTCAGGTCCAAAGTTTTTCCTGCATGAAATATTGATATGGACTTTTTTAAATATACTTGACCTGAATGCCTTGGGTGAAATGAAATGGTCCTCCTTCTTAACCATTTGCACTCATGTTAGTACAGGATTTAAACTAATAAATAAATAATTTAATCACTTGCATTGAATTAGAGAAAGCAATTTTTGTAAAAAAAAAAAAAAAAAAAATTAATGTAAAACTAGACCATAATGTATTCGAACATGTTATTGACATGAAATATAATCAAGAAATTCCTCGAAATCAGCAGATTTTATGTTTGATGTTCATGCTTTTATGTTCCCTTTCTATTATAAGGCACACTGCAATATTGTTCTCAAGATCAATTTAACTTTAACTGCCAATTTTTTCTCAGAGGGCAAATTAAGGTATTCTGTCTAGATAAACCACAAACTTACTGAACATTTTTCAGTTCCTTAGAACAACATTTGAGCATTAAAAAAATTACACTTTCCCTTTTCAACCATACGTCACTGTAACTATTTTCAGTTATGTAACATCTCCTGATAATGCTAAATAATTTAGTAGAACTTTCTAGAGGTAAAATTAGATGAACAGTGATTTTACATGGCATGTTTCTGTATTGTTCTTACTGCTTAAAAACTTGTAATCATGTTTCCTGCTCACTTTTTGAATATAAAGATTCTTCCCCTAAAAAGCAATTAAAATTTTTTTAAGCATCTTGAATGTGGTAGACTATATGTAAGTATTCAATAAATACGAGCAGTTCCTGGTATGTAATCAATGGATTTGATCTATGAGGTGTCCATTACCAGATCAATCTACTGCAGATCACTGGGTAAAAAAAACCCTCTCATAGTCATAATAAACAGGTAATTCTTCATTTGAGCTGGAAATAACCATGATACTATAAAAATACATTTAATTTTGCATTTTTGAAGACACATAGTATGCAAAATTTATTGATTTTCAATATGAAACTATTAAATTAGACCTAGCAAATTTTTCTATTTTACAAATCTACATCCAGATTGCACTTCTGAAAAAAATAATACATGATGAAATTTGGCAGAAGATTGAAATGAAATTATTTTGTTTCATTAACATTAAAATGTAATTTAAATTAATTTTTACTTCAAATTCAAATGATGCATTAATTAATATTTTAAAAAAAAAGCTTTCTGAATTCACTTTTCAGGAAATGAACATTTTTGCAAAATGGAAAAAAAATTTATATTGTAGACACTGAAAACCTGATTTTGTTATAATAACACTTTACATTTACTATTCATGTAAAAGTTGAACATGTTATGCAGATTTTTCACAGGTTAGTTGACCATTTAGCCCCATATTATTCAATTCAGCCAACTTAACCTACTTTCTTTACAATTCAAAATCTTGTTCAAAATTAAATTATTCAGAAATACTATTTTTAATTTAATTTCAAAACCAGGTTTTTTGTACAAAGTAATGCAATGGACACCTGACTTCTGAATACTGAAAACTATTCACAGTCAATAGGATAAGGCAGCACCTTTTTTAAACACTCCACCCCTAAAACATACCAACCAAATCTCTAAATTTGCAATTTCCTGTCCAGTATCAAAACTGCACCAGTAAAATATTTTTCACATCAGAGTAAACAAGTTGAGGAAAATAAAAGTAATTCCTACCAGATAAAGCACTGATTACCTATGGTTGAGGCTCTGGCATCTGCCTCTTGCCTTATTAAGGAAACTACATTTTTCTCCTTGCTTTCAAATATCACCAAAATTATCATATACACTTTGCACATCGGGTCAACTTAGCAATGTCTTAGGTAGTGACTAATACTAGAAGTCTCTACCAGTTTTAATTAAAACAAACGATTTTTGCTGTATATACTCACGGTTAATGACTCTCTCTTTCTCCCACTGGTAACAATGGAGAAGCCCTGTGTCTCAATAGCAACCCCTGTTCTCTGTACCTTCTCTTCAACATACCTGACGATAAAATAAAACATTGCCATATTTAAAACTGACTCTTTTCTTACATATAAATTTTCCTAATATCAACCAAAGGATTTCAAATATAATTTGCTGCTGATTTCTGAAAATTATAATTTTGGATGTTGGGTAATTTGATAATTTGAAAAATCATCCTTTCTAAATTTGAACATAAGGAAAGAACACTCTTTTTTTCCCATATTTAATCATATAAGTAAAAATCCCCAGATGATAATGAGACAATTATCACATATGGAATTCTAAATGCCAGCAACAGACATTCACATATATAGAGTACAGACTCACTATGAAGTTCATATGAGGACAACCTTCCCCTACTCTCCACTGATAGTCCATGCAAGATCAAAAGATTACAGCTGGGACCCCAACCACAAGTATACATAGGGTAACACAATGGCTAGACCTCATAATTCGGCAAGCCTTATTAACGACATTTTCCCTGCCTGCTGACTTTGGGTATATTGATTGTTTTAGTTTTATCTCCTCAGGATGGTAGCATGTCAGACATTTGCGCATATAGTTAATATCAAAAGTTCATAAGAAGCTTAAACTACATGATTTCTGAATAGCATAGACCCATCCAAGCAGAAAAGCCTGCAAGTACTGTGCCTCGAATTAATAAGGAACTTGTTTTTTTTTTCCCTATAGTGCACGTGGGTGCAACATTTGTGCAGAGTCAGTAATCTGCATGGGCTTGCAAGTCGACATGTTTTGTAACATTTAATTATATTAATATTATAGATGAAAAGGCTTTTTTTCTCCTTTAATTTACCACCACACAATATAGAATGTAACAACCAGACAGGTAAAAAAAGTTTTCTTCACTGAAAAATGTACTTGAAAAATGAATAAGCTCTTCAGTCCAATCAAGCATTTTATACTCTAATAACACCTGAAGTTTTAACAGTGCTGCCCTTTATGAAACCCTTCTTCACAAATCTGAAACACAATATGCTACACTACATAATTCCTCAATTTACGTACATTCAAATGAAAAGCGGTAATTAAAACACCAAAAACGCAGCAATAGCTCTGATTTTAAAGAGTACAGATTACATAATTTATAATATCGATGTTCTAGAACATACAATGCCTGCATCCTGAAAACCTGCTGACATTGTAGAAATTTTTGGCGAAAAGCTGACATTACAAAAGACACCATGCAGAGACAAGAGTTTACTTTTCTATCAAAACATTTGAAATATGTAAACTCTGCCTGACCTCCTATCAAGAACACTTCCGTTTTTCTTCAATTTAAGCTGGATCATCTGATTTCTATGTCTATATAGCTTACTTGTTTGCTATTTGCTGCTTAGTTCTGAATCAGATGAACAAAACTAAAACATATATTATTCATATCAAGATTATATTCCAATCAAATCCTATAGTCATTCTATGACAACTGGATACATTCAATCTACATAAACCAAACTGGGTAGTAACCATAGATTAACGGGCAGCATGAATCAAATAAGAAAGAACTTAGATAATTAAACAGTGAAGAATTGCGAAAAGATTTAATTTTGTGTTATAAGTACCTCTTACACACCCCAAGTGTTCTAGTTCTTCACAATCGCCTGACCTGTCATACCTTTAAATTCACTCAAAAAAATGATCCTTATGCTATGTCAGCAGAATTATATCCTATGCGAAAAAAGAGATTTAAGTAATACTGAAATTTAAAAAGAATCTCGTCTACATAGACGGACATGACTAGAAGGGGGTATAGTAGCACTGTGTATCCCCGAGTACCACACACAATTAACTGTCACTAGCGTGCAATTCTCTCACAGAGGCCTGATGTTAAAGCATTGACTTCACCTTCACATACCAAGCTATGGTTACATCAAACAAACAATTATTCACTAATGCCGCACACGTCTGGCTGCAAGTCAGCTGGCGAACTATCAAAATCAGCTGATTCAGCAATTCCTGTCAGTCTGTAGTCTTCTTTGGTATATGCATTCTGATTGATTTTTCCCCCCTCTATGAATATCTATAGGGCATATAAATGAAGACAAAATGAGGGGAAATTTGATCATTACAATATTGCTTGCACAATACCAATAAATCATTCTCCTATCTTTCATAAGTAAGAAAAAAAAATGAATTATTGTTCCGGTTTGAGAGGGTATACAAAAATCCATGAATTAACCTTCTACTTTTTGAGTGGGTATAAAATGCAGTCAGTGATATCTCTGGAATGTGATTCTATGTACATGTTTGTCTATGTATTTTTCCTGTTCATGTGAAAAAAGATTTGAAAGATAAGAGTTTAATTTTACCTTCAAGGAATTTCTGGCCTCAGCAGTCTTATTATCTGAGGAGGAAGCGATATCAAATATGCAAGATTTGCCTCCCCTTTACAGCAGTGACAAAATATAAGTGGAGTTAAATTGTTATTTTCAAAAAGGTCATTTCAAAATGTTATTATTTCTATAAAAAATTCTTATCAGAGTTTTATGAATGCAAATGTTAAACAAGATGCTCTTGGTCCACAATGCTTACCTGAGCAACCTTGGGCCTGCTGTTTATTATTATCAGGGACTACTGCTTTTCATACGATTTAAAAGCATTTCTCTGTGCCCCATATGCAAAACTTTAACCTCCACTGTGCCCCTTACTCCTAACTAAAGAGATTGCATATAATTATGATAGGCCCTGCATTTTTTTCTGTCATTTATTTGAAATTTTTCTACCTGACATTTCTCTATGAAGCACTGACCCTCTATTGTGTCCCCTCTAGCACCCGTGGAAATCATTGAGGGGGGGGGGGGAAAGATCTATACTACATGAAAATGGTTGTGTTTTTATATGAATGAAAGAAAAAGTGAGCAAGCTCACATACCCCACACTCCCCAAAAACTCAAAGTGCTAAAAATCCCGGAAAAAATGAGAGAATCGGAATTTCCCGGTAATATGCACATCTACAAATTGTGTCCTAAATATCTTCAAAGTTTGATGAAATTCTGTGCAGGGGTTTATGAGGAGTTGCACTACCACTATATTCAAGATATCCCCAAAAATCTAAGTTGTAAAGTGCCGAAATTCCCAGAAAAATAAAGGAATCGGAATTTCCTGGTTAAATGCACATCTATACATTGTGTCCTAAAAATCTGCAAAGTCTGACGAAATTCTGTGCAGCGGTTTATGAGGGGGTCGCACTGACAAAATATTCATCTGTATATTCAAGGTATGGCCAAAAATCTAATTTGAAAAGTGCCAAAATTCCCAGAAAAATCAGGAATCGGAATTTCCTGGTAGTATGCACATCTACACACTGTGTCCTAAATATCTATAAAGTTTGACGAAATTCTGTGCGACGGTTTATTTGGAGTTGCGCTGACAAAAAAAAAGGACTGACTGACTGACTGACAGACACTCTGACGGACGGGTCAAAAACATTATACGTCACGCAACTAGTGGCGTGGGGTATAATAAGCAGTCCTTTTTTTTTTTTAAATAAACCTAATCAAAAAAATTTCATGATGCCATTTCACAATAGAATTATTTTTTCTAATTAGAATTTGAACAGATTTTATCAAATGAATTGTTATGCATAAATATAATCTTGACATTAAAAATATATCAGAGGGAGAATAAAATTTTCACAAGCAGATGGACTCACTAAAGTGTACAAATAAAATGTGAGTTACACATTTAGATTAAATTACTTAAAATGCCTTCTAGCAGTCTTCACGAAAACTCACTAGCCCGACGCCCGAGGCTAGTAAAAATTGGTCTGAGCTAGTAAATATTGTTTCAGAAGTAGCCCGACTGGCTAGTGAAAAGTAAGCAGGTACTTTCAGAGTTTTTGCTTTTAAATCTTAACCAGGAAATAAAATCAAAGCACTGTAGTCCTATTCTTCAGAAAACTGCCTCATCTAACTCACGTAGCACTTAACTTAATAGCTTATTTTTCCATAACAAGAGGCCCACGGGCCTTATAGGTCACCTGAGCATTCTGCAACAACTTTCCAGTTATTGAATTTGATTCATGTTTTAAGCCAGATGCTATATGGCATTCATAATTTTGAAAGAGGCACCATTGATCATCATAACAATACACTTAGCAGTTGCTTAGCTTGGTTTATTGATTTAAATATGCCCAATAATAAGTTCATAGGATCTTCATGAACGTTTCATGAACATTTCATGAATAAAATTCATGAAAAATTCAAGGTAATTCATGAATTATTCATGATCACCTCGCAGGGGTACTGAATACCCATACGCAAGGTAGGGGAAAAAAAAAATGCATTCCAACTAATCAGTAATATTCAGCAATAATCAGTAATGCCCCTAACACTGTGAAATAAACCCCTGACCCTAGGTCCACACATTGCACAAATTTTAAAAAGGCACCGTTAAAATTGCCTATCAAAAAATAAATAAATGTTTTATAAATACAAAGGAGCAGATTTCAAACAATTAATTCATTTTCAGTATATAAGTAGAGCCCCACATCCACCCCTGACCCTGGGGCCTTGAAATTCAAAATTAATTGCAAGATTAGGGCCCTTGCTCATCATAACTATTTAGGTAGTTCATCTGCTTCATACCCAGAGACAGAGAAGAAAATTTTCAAAGATTTAATGTATATTCACTATATAATCAATAGAGCCCCCCCCCCCCCCCCCACCCCCACACACCCCGCCCCCACAAAATCCACCATTTGGTCCGCCCCACTCTTGCTCATCATAACTATGTACTTAGTTAGTTTATTTAATACCTAGGAGCAGAGAAGAAGATTTCAAAGAATTTATGTATTTTTACTATATAATCAATAGAGCCCCACCCTAACACCAGAACCCCTGACCCTGGGACCATAAAATTCACAATTTTGGTAAAAGCACTCTTGCTCATCTTAACTATGCACTTCGTTAGTTTATTTAATACCTAGGAGCAGAGAAGAAGATTTTCAAAGAATTCATGTATTTTAACAATATAATCTATAGAGCCCCCCCCCCCAACAC